TAATGGCGAAAAAATGGTCACACAATGGCAAAACATCCGACCCCCGTTCCAACGACTGCCAAGCAATGATTCGACTCGACAAACGTCAAACGTTGTCAGTCAAGGTTATATCACGGCGTGTATAGCAAGACGTCGGTATCGGTCGGTACGGCGATGAATTGAGATGTTGACCAGCCGGCAGACTAACTAGCCGACAGGAGGGGTGACGTGGCTAGACCACAACAGGTTCAAAGCTTAGACGACCAAAAATTCAGAATTTGGAAAATTCGAAACCACGTGTCTGACGCCTCAAGTCGGACTATGTGAAATCTGGAAAATTTTCAAAAAAAATAAAATCCGGAACGCTACCGGATCTAAATATCCGAATTTGAGAAAATAACATTTTCTATTAAAGCTATTAGAAACTTCGTAATATATATCTTCATTATAAGCAGATTATTGAGTTTAACCGTCGCCCGTTCGAGATGAAACATTTCGATCAGATCTGTCACAGAAAACATCCTGAAGAGTGGCAGCTGATATCAAACGAAACCTCCGTTCCAATAGTACGAAATCCGATAGGTTGCGTTTAGAGTAACTGCGACACCTTTCGAGTCTGTGATTATAAGGTGTAGCAGAGAGGTGTTCAAAGTTGGCGCTTCCGTTTTGCCTCTGCAGTGAACCACTGGGCACTGCACTTCCTTTGGGCCCTTTCTGGCGCTACGTTGTTACGTACCCTTCTGACATTTGTACCTTCATACAATGTTTGCTAGGCAGATTCTCGACGATCCTGGTCCCAACTCTTGCACGACTGCCAGGGGCTAAGAATGGGTGTGAAACATCCAACGCTTATTCGCGTGTACGGACAGGCAGAGATCTTCAGACGAGAAGTGATCTTTCTCTGATCCGGATGTTGATAAACAGCTTAAAGTGAATCTGAATTTGTGAGAGATCGGGTTTCAGATATGGCCAGTCCTAACCTGGTGAGGAGTGATGAATCGATCGATTTTGTCACGCGGTAAATTGAGTGAAACATGAAACAGAGGGGACCCTAGCAAAAACGAAGACTTCATTCTGGAGGGAAAGCGCTATTTAAGAAATCCGGCAAGACATCTTGCTGAATTAGTGAGCACGCATATGATACTGTTTTGGTGAGTAGTAAGGGAAGCGAAATCTGTCCCCTGACGACAACCATATGCAACACTGCTGCGAAAGCCGGCCTCTCCCTTAACGCCCGGAAATCAAGAATCTTAAAGAACCAATCCAGCACAGCGTATTTACAAGTGGAACATGGAGTAAAAGATCTTCAAGAGGTTAAAAAGTTTAATTACCTCGGCTCCATCATCTCCAGCAATGACATTATCCAGCCAGAGTTAAATAAGAGGACCACCCTATTATCGAATGCTTTTATAAACCTGTCCAATCAATATTTTGCTTGAGGAATGAGTTACTCTTCTTATAAAAATCCGCCTGTACCCTGCCTATGTCACATCTGTGTTGTTGTACGGGATGGAGACAGTTATTCTGACGAAGGAGCAGGACCACTGGTTGAGCTGCATACAGCAGCGTTAGCTTTGACGCACAATGAGTGCTAAATGACAGGACCATGTAAGGAATGACTCCATTCTCTTCCGGGATTCTCACAGGCAACCTCAGCATGTGGGAATTAGAGAAAGGAGCTGGACCCCATTAGCACAAGCCATTTACTCCCGTACATGAGCTTTTCTTATCGGACCGGAAATATGGCACATGTAGACAGTGAGTTCAGCATAAAGCATAGAGGAACAAGGTAGAGGCGAATCTGCGTTCGCAGAGCAACATAGCCGGTGCCTTATAGCAAAAGTGTTGAAAAGCTGCAGATACGGCTTACATCGCAGAACAGAGACGTTCTGCTTACGCAAACGAGGTGACGATATCAACAAACAACAAACACATGACATCATGTCATGAAGAGAAACGACTACCTTTGACAAGAAGAGGACATAATGACATAAGAAAGTAATATAAACTAGTTTAATTTGTTGTCACCCCCTTGAAATACGATTACACATTTTTTGGATTTTATCAACCTCCTGTTTCCATGTCTTTCCATCTCTTTCTTGTATCTCGTGTTTAACAGGATTTTTTGGAGAAATCGAAGGAATCTGAAGAAAGTGAGAATACAGTAACGCGACGGAAAATCACAGTCAGAGCGTTTTCCTACCAACAACGATACAACGTACTTTTCCTGCCCTCTCTAAGAATCTGCTCATAAACAGTGGAAAGTACTCCACGCTAACAGAGTAGTGAAAAAGTACCAAAGCATTCGACGAAGATCAGCGGCCGGCGATCGGTGCGTCGG